TCCCCACTGTACTAAATGCAGAAATAAGTACGTACACGGAGGACAATAATTGATAGAGTTTATTCACGGTCGCCTAAAAACTAATATTGGCCACGTCTGGAATGAAACCGTCTGCATTAACTGCGAGGAAGGGTCATCCAGAAAAGATTACCTGGTTTTTCGGACACTCTTGTGATCATCCGTATCATGAGTAAAGTTTTGCTGCTCAAAACCGGACACCGCTGCCCCGTAGGAGGCGGTAACAGAAGCAGATACAGAGGCGGTAAATAATTTATCAATTGACAACCTGCTTTATTACTGCTCGTCAAAGCATGGTTGTTTTGAAACCTTTGATACTCGAGATGTGTCGTCAGAGAAACTAGGTTATCTGTTTAATCGCTTGTGATCATCGCGCATCGAAACTATCTAGATCAGGTGGTAGAAGTAGTTTCGCAATTCTGGAGGGGTTACAAAGGACTGGGACCAGAATATTGTTGAAATAAACGGTGATCAGTTCTTACTTTAAATAGGTGAGCCGAATAGATAAAAAAACAGCTATACTGTTAAATGCATTGCAAAATGACTTGACTTATTGACGATTCCTGACACTTCAGATTCACACTCTCACCCATCATCATAAGCAGCATCAGATAAATTCTTATCCGGCTCCCGTTAACTAGCAACCGCAGTAACCACCCTCCGAATTTGGTGCGGCAGCTTTGGGTGGATGAAGTAATTACTCGAGAGCGCACGGGAGGACACGCATTCCCGTGCCAGTGTCGGCAAGTCAATTTGCCGAGTCACTAGCGCACCAATAGCCAATACAAGCACTTATATCACGGCAATTAAGGACTGAGCTAGGGGCAATCAGTATAGTATTGCGCTAGGTGCAACTATCGGCGATGAATATGAAGACTGCATATATGTAGTGGTATGAAAACTTAACCTTATAGACTCCAAACCCCGTGCATCCATTACCTGTATTTGATAATGCCTCAGATGACGGTATTGAATGTTAATCTAAAATGACACACCTGTTTTTTTATTTTGGTGACCGAGTGTCCTTCTCAACTGGTTCCTGAAATTCGCATTTGCGCTTGTATCGACAAGTCTCTTCACTATTTTCCATGCCATTCTTCGTTAAGATCGGATCAACGATGACTATCGGGGACTCTTCTTAAGATTCATAAATGGGTAAGTTATATCTGCAGCACTCTGCTGCCATGCAGTTGCTGCGCCGTTGCGGCCCACAGTAAGATTATGTCTGAACAAACTAATCCGACTTCATATTTTGTCAGTTGGAAAAAACAATGAAAAACTTTATGAACGGCTGGATTGCAACCTATATGCATTCAACCAGCTGAATGTGTTCTGGAGCTGAGCACTGGATAGTCTATAGACAAACCGTCATACCTTCAAGCGCCAACCGGTCGCTGGCGCAACAGACTGCACAAAAAAGGCAACTGTTACAGTGTTCTACAAGACACGTCAGAGTTAAATATTAATAACCCTTATGTTCAATTCTTTAGACGTGAAAAATATTTTAGTTATAACTAAAACCAGAAATTCTCCCTGACTTTAACCTTAAGAAGCTTTTGAAAAATTGCAATTATGGTCAAACATCGCGAATGACATCTATTTTGTGACAATATATTTTAATGGCAAGCTAAATGCTAGCTTTTGACGACTTGATGTTATCGCGGGTATTAATGAGAATAATTGTCTCAATTCTGGAATATAAACCAAGCTGGTGACTAAGAAGCAGACCTGCTTCGACAATTAAAAGAATAGAGCTCCTGAAGGTTTGTCAATAGACTATATGCTTACACTAAATCGTAAGAAATCATTGCACGGGATATCAGGGTCCATCACCACCAGAATGCAAAATTGGCGCTACAACTGGTTATCTATTAGGGACTTTATTGGGTGTATGGGTACGCAATAACCAGCCAGACAAATATTTACCAATGAAGCGCAGACGTCTTTGGCAGTGTTAGCATTAATTTCGACCACGTGCTAAAGGCTAAGGGTAAACCAAGTCAAATATCGGATGTAGCCGTTCCGACCCCCCAATATTCTGTAGCATACTCCCGCAAGATCTTCAGTTACGTAAGCCCACCCCGAAAACTGAATAACTTCGAACAAGAGGTGAAGTAAGTGTGAGCATTTAAGTACCCCATTTGCAACATAAAACGGTAGATGCAAACTTGAAAGATAGCAGAAATAATAAGTTAAATTACATGTTCTAACCAGCAGGTTCCACATCGTTAAGATGCTCCTCTCTGAAAATTTGTGAAAAGATTAAACTCCATATAGTCGGTGGAAGGTTTGGAATAAACTGTAATATTCCTTACATCATCCCCGGAAGAGGAAGAAGAGGAGACGATTTCTGA